GCGTCAATTTGAACGACGTTAACATATAACTAGAGCAGCTATCATTTGAAGCTGTTTTCTACCTAAGGAATAAGTTACCTTAGCTGTAATTGGCAAAACATTTCGGAATTTGGGGTCCTCAATTATCTTCAAACTTGTACTTTATTTTGCCTTTTTAACTTATTTATTCGAGCTTCACTAGTGAGCCTTTTGTAGACGAAAAAAGCGTCTGGCGTACAAATGTTAATCCTGGTATCTATGAAGAGTTTATTCAATATAATTTTAACATATTTTTTTATCTTTGGGTGCAGTCAATATATTTCCGAAGAACATACTTCTTCAAAGTTTATTGAAAAGAAAAACCAATTTTGGCTACAACTGGTGCGCCCTGCAAACAAACATTCAATAGAAAAATGTTTGTTTTATTAGCTATTAATAAATAGAGTATAATAGAAGATATCGACCCTACGAGATTTCGAGGGGAACATACAATTATCAACAAAGAACATTTGTCTATTAGTTTATATAACTAGAGGCTCTCAAGAGCCAGTCTCGCTCACCTGATTCTACTTTGGTTTTTGAAATCATGTAAAAATAGATTAAAATCATAACAGATACCTTAATAATGATTGAGGCCAAATTTGGTTTAATATTGGCCCCGTAATTTAATAAAAAAAATCCTGGTGGCCATCTTGAACAGTAAATCGGCAACAAAGTAGCAACACTTCATGCACCTCATAAGGAACATTTATGCCATGTTTGGTTTCATCCCATTCAGTGCTCCTCTAGAAGAAGCATACTATGTATTTCCCATAGTGTCTTATGTTAAACTAAGTCCCCTGTTGGCGGTTATCTTGAATGATGGTTCGGCTACAAAGTAACAACACTTGGTCAGCACCTCATTAGGAACATTCATGCCATGTTTGATTTCATTCTATTCAGTGGTTTCTTTAGAAGAAAACATTTGTATGTATTCCCCATAGGGTCGTATGTAAAACTTACTCCCCCTGCTGGCAGCCATCTTGGATGACAAATCAGCTACAAAGTAACAACACTTGTTCAGCACATTTGAAGAAACATTCATACCATGTTTGGTTTCAATCCATTAAGCGGTTTTCTAGAAGAAGACATTTGTATATATATTTCCTATGGGGTCATTTGTTAAACTAAGTCCCCCGTTGGCAGCCATCTTGGTTGATGGATTTATTACAAAGTAACAACACTTGGTCAGCACCTCATAAGGAACATTCATGTCATGTTTTATTTCATTCCATTCAGTGGTTCTTCAAAAGAAGACTTTTGTATGTATTTCACATAGGGTCCTTTGTTAGACTAAGTTCCCCGCTGGCAGCAATCTTGGATGATTAATTGGCTACAAAGTAACAACACTTGGTCAGCACCTCATAATGAACATTAATGCCATATTTGGTTTCATTCCATTCAGTGATTCTCTAAAAGAAGACATTTGTATGTATTGTCCATAGGGTTCTTTGTTAAACTAAGTTCCCCGCTGGCAGCCATCTTGGATGATTTATTGGCTACAAAGTACTAACACTTGGCCAGCACTTCATTAGGAACAGTCATGCCATGCTTGGTTTCGTTCCATTAAGTGGTTCTCTTAAAGAAAACATTTGTATGTATTTCCCATAGGGTCCTATGTTAAACTAAGTCCCTCTCTGGCGGCCATCTTGGATGATTGATCGCCTACAAAGTTACAACACTTGGTTAGCACCTCATAAGGAACATTCATGCCATGTTTGGTTTCATTCATTTCAGTGGTTCTCTAAAAGAAGACATTTGTATGTATTGTCCATAGGGTCCTATGTTAAACGGAGTCCCCCGCTGGTGGCCATCTTGGATGATGGATCGGCTACAAAGTAACAACACTTGTTCAGCACCTCATAAGGAACATTATATTATATGAATATTATTTTAACTCAATTGCGATGTTCCGCTTCATTTTTGAACTCTGACCTTTTCAAAGCTAACATTATACTGGATCCTTCGTGTCAGTGTGGGTCTGATATTGAGGATGTTCATCATTTTCTTTTAGTTTGCCCAAAATACACTACATGTAGAGAAATTTTACTTAACAATCTTAATTGGCTTACTGAAAACTTTATTATTGATACTAAACTATTAACTTGCGGAAATCTTGAACTTTCGAATGAACAAAATCTCCTAATTTTCAAACATGTTCAAGATTTTATTAAAAGGTCTAACAGATTTCTAGTACCTTCATAAAATATTATTGCTACCGGCACGGATGATCATCACCATCAAACCTAAGTCAACATCACAGAAAATATAATTTGCTTCTTTTTCTTTTCCTCCTTTTCCATTCTTCTTGTTCTTTTTTTCTTTTTATTTATAGTTCGTATAATATTTAATGAATTTGTTAGCTTTAAATGCATGCTCATAATGTTATTATTGTATATATACTTGTATTGTAATATGGAGAAGACTTCATAAGTATGATTTACTTGTGTCTCATCCATTTTGCTGATATTTAGCAAATAAAATATGTTTAAACTATAAGGAACATTCATGCCATGTTTGGTTTCATTCCATTCCGTGGTTCTCTAGAAGAAGCACTACAAAAGTCTAAAAGTCTGAAAAGACCAGTTTTTGTCTTAATTTGCATGAACTTTTACTCGACATTCTCCAAAAGTATGACTTGTGTCTTAATTTTTCTTGACAAATTCTCATTTATATTAAATTTGTATGAAATTTACTCGACATATTCTCGACATTCTGAATATGGTCTTAAAATTTCTTGACAAATTCTTGACATTTGAATACTGTCTTGAAATTTCTCGACATATTCTCGACATTCTTATTTTTTCGCAGTATGGCTTGACATATTCTGAACATTTTGAATCGTGTCTTAAATTTATTTGACAGTTCTGAGTTTTACAAATCATGACCAATATTCATGATATAACTTTAATCTTTATTTCTCTTTATATGATATACTGTTGTTTCAAGTTACACTTCTTTACAACAAAAATAAAAGTTGGGCATGTAAAATAATTGAAAATTTGGGTATATAAATATTTTTACAAATGCAAATATGGCTATGAAATCTAAAGTATAAAATAATTCAAATGTGGGTGTGTTGATATAAAACAATTTCAATGTGGGTTTTTAAATAATTACAAATTTTGATTCCTAAATCTTATAAATTAAATGATTCAAACCAATCATACTGTAGACATATTTCATTCTACATTCATAATATTCAATGTTGATATGGTAAATAATTATTATACCAAAATGTGGTTTATATAAAAAGCACATACCCAACTATTTCAGTCCTATTCAGGACCGATAACTCTGTCGATAAATATTGTCGGGTATACAATGTTGTTTAAAAATAGAGCAGTTGTATTATATGTCTCTGTTGAAATGTATACAATAACAAATTTTTTTACACAAGTTTAACTTTTTATCGATTTATTGAATGCCTGGATTTTGCTTAAAATATTGAATTAAAAAAATAAATAATAAAATCATATTCAATGAAATCTCGTTTAATTTTTTACGAAATAATACAAAATCCATTTAAATTAAAATTTGAATCAAAATATTTCTTTAAAATAATTATAGAAACATAAATATTAGTTTGATTATCTTTTAAAGCAAAAACTATTTTTTCAAAGATTTTTTTTTATAATATTCATATTTTCTTAAAGTTTATTATGATACATACTTCTTCTTGTTTGACACGGGGAAGAGAAGATATTTATTTGTACAGTTATGAAAACTTTTGTATATCACAAAATTTAAACTCTGGTAATACATGTATACACAGGATGTTTAATGTCACCTGGTTGCTTTTGGTTTGCACGTCTACCTGACAATATATTGTTATGTAACATTACATCCAAAGTCAGAGTTCACCTGTTCGTCAAGTGATGGGATTTTGAAGGTATGGAATATTTATCTATAATAATTGTTGGGATTTTTTTCTCTCTTGGGACGTAAATATTTTTTTGTTTTAAAAGGAATGTATAAATATATTTCTAAAGAAAGATAAATTATACAGAAAACAGGAAAAAAACCTTTTAAAAAAAGAAGAGAAAAAATGTTATTATAAATTTTATTGTTAACTATTTTCTGGTAACAGTATATCCTGGATATCTGTCAAAATAAAATGTTCCCGTGTCACACTTAAAATAATATTTTGTTAATCAATAAATTTTGAAACAATCATATCGAAATATCACCAAAGAAAATAACAGAAACATCAGAGATTCTACATGAAAATTAAATTAAATCAAGGAAAGTCTTACTATACAAATCCTCGATTTGATGCAACATTTCCATATACATCATCCGCCATTTTGAAAAATCCCGAAATATTCACTTTTTTAAATCGATTTTTGACCGAAATTGCCCAGAAATTAAACTGTTTTAAATAGTATTTTTCGCCAGATATATGTTTGAATATAAACACTGGACACTTTTAATTTGCAAAACACTCATTTGCAAATCCGCCGCCGCCTCTCCTTAGACCTACAGTGTCGTGTGTATAACCAAAATGTGCGGAATTACATGGGATTCAATAAATTCATTGCTTTTCTGCTGTTATTATAATATATTTTTTGTAATTTGATTTAGAAAAACATGGGATTTTCAATATCCCATGGGATAAGGCAAATCCCATGGGATTTACCATTATCCCATGGGATTTTGGTTAAATCCCATGGGATTTTTTTGGGTCCCATGGGATAATTGTAGTCCCATGGGATATTTGTTGTCCCATGGGACAAAAAAAATCCCATGGGACTATAATTATCCCATGGGATTTTTAATATCCCATGGGACAAAATAAAATCCTATGGAATTCAAATTATAAATATACAGTAATGTGTATGTTACAATGAATTCTGTTTGGTAGTAAATTGTTTTAAGATGAATCTTTTTAGTTGAATATCTTTTTTTCCTTGGAAATGTTAATGCAATTATATTGTTCTATAACTGTTCAAAACTAAACTTTTAAACAACAAAGCAGATAATGTAAGTATCAATATATGTTTATTTATGAATTCTAGAATACTTTTTTGAAACACAATTTTTTCCCATTTGGAATCAATGAAAACTCTATTATTAAGCTTAACATACTAGTAGCTTTTTACATAAATCTAATTTTTTTTTCAGGATATCCCTCCACCCAAAAAATTAATAGTTTCTTATCATCCAGCATTGTGTGATCGTAATGTATAGTCCACTTTTTGGCCATTCAGCACAGAACATTGTCATTATTGTGGTTTTAATATCTTTAGATATTTAATAGAACTTCGATTCATTGACTGAGTGATGAAAATAATAACTGATCTGACTTTTGTCTTTGAATTTATTCTGGTCTTGTTTCTGTGTTTTCTCCTTTTATTCTAAGTGATGAATTTCAATCCTTCTGAAAAAGAACCAATAAAAATCAGAAGTTATGGATTATAAAAAATTGTTTGCATACATGTAGCAATAACATATGATTTTCAATAAAAATAGCTATGGCGCATTGCGGTATGGATTTTACTGATTGTTGAAGGTTGTCCAGTGTCATCAGTTGCTAATCTCCTACATCCTTTGGTCTCTGGTGGAGAGTTGTCAAATTAGCAATATACCACATCTTCCTATTCTAATATTATATAACAATCAATTTATGTATTCTTCTTTATAACATTTGGGTATTTTCCCCAGTTATATATATATATATATATATATATATAGATCAATGTTAAAACTTTAGGCAATTACAATAACATTCCATTTTTCACAAGAATTTGCAATATATTATACAAAATGCCAACAATAGAAACAGCACTTCTTTAAGCTTCTGAAGTTCGGAAAGAGTTCCACTTGTGTTTTATTTCAATGAGAAAATACCTTGAACTCTTTTGACATGTTGGAAATTATAACATTGATACAAAAAATTATATTGTTTTTTTGTGTTGTTCGGTTGCTGTCTCATTTTTATATATGGTTATACATATACATATATCCTAAATCTTCTTTTTGTTAATACTTAATTATTAATAGTAAAATTGGATATTTTTTATTTTGATAATCTCAAAACATTATTATTCTATCAAATAACTTATTTCCAAGTTCACAAAACACCAATGTGTCAGATATTAATTTTAAGACATGTATAAACATGATCAACAAGCAGTTGACAGGATGTCATGCAAAAATCTCACTTATATTAAACTTTCACAAAAACTCCATACTCAGCGAGTACTATTAAAGTTCTTAGTACAGGACACCATGCCTGGCAAACACTAGCATGTGTCAATGTCTAGTCAATCATGTAATCAGGCTCAAAATCTTAGTTTAGCACTGAATTTAAAAGTTCACCACATAATGAACATGTGTATGAAATTCAACTTCATGGTAAGCTATGTACCTTAACCTAAAACTTTAACCTAAGAATGTACTATAATTTCACATTGTGACATTTCTATGTTCAGTGATCCATAAAATCAGGGTAAAAACAGTAAATGTGGTGTATAATGTATAAACAAGAGTGCACACGCTGAAATGTTGCGCATTCTTTACTAATCATTGATATCATGTTGATAGTCCTAAATATAAAGCTTTACTACAACTATCACATAAACTCAACATGATCCAAGAAAATGAATTCAAGGTCATATAAACCCGACAAGAAATACATGTACACCTTACAATCATTCAATATACTAAATGCAGTTGACTTATTGCTTATAGTTTCAAAGAAGCAGACTTAACCAAGAAAACTAAACATTGACCAATGAAACATGGAAATGAGGTGAAGGTCAGATGAATCATGCCAGGCAGACATGTACAGCTTACAGTCCTTCCATTCAACACATATAGTTGACCTATTGCTTATAGATTAAGAAAAACAGACCAAAACACAAAAACTTAACACTAAGTAATGAACCGTGAAAATGAGGTCAAGGTCAAATAAAACCTGGGAGACTGACATGTTCATCATAAAATGTTTCCATACACCAAATATAGTTGACCTATTGCATTTAGTATTAGAAAAAAAGAACAAAACTCAAAAATTTAACTTTGACTACTGAACCATGAAAATGAGGTGAAGGTCAGATGACACCTGCCAGCTAGACATGTACACCTTACAATCATTACATACACCAAATATAGTAGACCTATTGCATACAGTATAAGGAAAACAGACCAAAACACAAAAACTTAACTATAACCACTGAACCATGAAAATGAGGTCAAGGTCAGTTGGTCATGTACACCTTACAGTCCTTCCATACACCGAATATACTAGACCTATTGCTTATAGTATCTGAGATATGGACTTGACCACCAAAACTTAACCTAAAATATAAAAAAGAAGATGTGGTATGATTGCCAATGAGACAACTCTTCACAAGAGACCAAATGACACAGAAATTAACAACTATAGGTCACTGTACGGCCTTCAACAATGAGCAAAGCCCATACCGCACAGTCAGCTATAAAAGGCCCAGAAATGACAATGTAAAACAATTCAAACGAGAAAACTAACGGCCTAATTTATGTACAAAAAATGAACGAAAAACAAATATGTAATACATAAACAAACGACAACCACTGAATTACAGGCTCCTGACTTGGGACAGGCACATACATACAGAATGTGGCGGGGTTAAACATGTTAGCGGGATCCCAACCCTCCCCCTAACCTGGGACAGTGGTGTAACAGTACAACATAAGAAAGAACTATAAAAATCAGTCGAAAGAGGCTTTAAACTCATCAGATAGATAAAAATACAAATACTACAAATACAAGTGGACGTGGCCGGGTACTAGTACATCCAAACAACAACAAGACACTAAGTACAGATCTGAGAGTTCTCGCAGTTACTGACAGCTAGTTCAAAGCCACTAACAACTAATAAAAAAAATCATGCATCTAAGACTAAGTTCTTGTTCACTGATCCATGAAATGAGGTCTAGGTCAAGTGAAAACTCTCTGACGAGCATGAGGACCTTGCAAGGTACGAACATACCAAATTTAGTTATCCTATTACTCATAATAAGAGAAAAATTAACATTACAAAAAATCTGAACTTTTTTTTCAAGTAGTCACTGAACCATGAAAATGAGGTCACGGACAATGGAAATGTGACAGACAGAATTCGTATCATGAGGCATCTATATACAAAGTATGAAGCATCCAGGTCTTCCTCCTTCTAAAATATAAAGCTTTTAGGAAGTTAGCTCACGCCACCGCCATAGCCGCCGCCAGATCACTATCCCTATGCAGAGCTTTCTGCGACAAAAGTCGCAGGCTCGACAAAAATACATGAACATTTTAAAGTACTAAATTTTGAGTATATACATGTAAAACCACAAGTTACTAACTGAAGTTCATGGTGAACTGTAACCAAAAACTTTAAGTGAATACAATTTAGAGAAAGACAGATGAATGCGCAAACACTATCAAAACAGAGCATAAAACTTACCGAACAAGATGTTTTACATTTATTCTTCAGAAGCAGGAAAATTGAAGTGTTTCTTTTCTTTCTCTGCCCTCCATGGTATAAACTTCAAATTCATTCATGCAAAATATGAAAATCTGCAAAAGTAGGACCTTGTATCTCAGCTTATCCACATTTTGACTTTTGAACTGCATTGTTCTTTTCATCTTGCTGGCAACCTAAACATAAAAAAAATGATAAACACATAATTCTGGATTAACTTCATGTATTTATTTTTGTTGGTACAAACAATTTTTTCCAACTTTAAACGAAAACATCATCACAAAAAAGGACGACATACACAAATGACATACTAACCTCCAAAATATTTAAACAAACCAAAATTATAATTGATTAAGATCTTGTCATAAATGTATAGCATGGATACCTCTTATTTTTGAAGACCATATGTCTATTGCATACTTATATTCCTTTGTACAAGAGTATGCATATTAATATTAAAGATTGATTCTGTCAGAATCTGAGGACTTTAAAATCAAAGAGGTAGTGCCATTATCCCCTGAATTCATTACACTATACAATGCCATAAGGCTACTCCAAGTTGTATGCCAATCTTTAACATGTTTAATTAGCATGATTAAGTTTCATAACTCCATGTGTACACTTTGAGAATCTTACAATACTTTTTATTCTGATTTTCAGAACTTATTGTGAGGTTTTTATTAATGCGACTGAGAGCTGTATTGCATTCTTTTATCTGATACATATTTATGAGCTGAAGACCACCTCGGGGTGCATGATTTTCTCACCGCGTTGAAGACCAGTTAGTGGCCTTCGGCTATTGTCTGCTCTTTGGTTGGGTTGTTGTCTATTTGACATATTCCCCATTTCCGTTTTCAATTTTATGTATGCAGATTTTTCTTAAATCACAATAATCAATCTCACATTTTTGTCCATTATTCAAAATTAGCAAAAATAAATGCACACAAAAATTAACATTGTTAAAGCTTTTTTTTTAAATTCAAAACAGTTGCCCAAAACCATTAAATTCCTTTTTTGATTTATTTTATATTATTCAAAGCCTTTTATAGCTAGATAGATGGTATGGCTTTTGCTCATTGTTGCATTCATATCATTACCTATACCTAACTTGTCATGCTTGTGCATCATTTGGTCTCTGGTGGGGATAGGCCTACGGAAGAAGGTTCAACTTGGAATTTGCCGGATAATGAGTATTTATCCAAAAATGTAGAAGAAAGGTATTCATAACAAAAACCAAAATTATGTTGAAATTAAAGATGTTAATTGTCTGTAACATGTTATTTCATTTTGATTAGTGAGGTACTGGTGACCTGACAAAACTTATAAACATGAACTTTTGACCTATAGGAGTTACCCTACTGGAGTTTGGATCTAGGTCTGTTCGTCCTGATTCACATTCAACCTTAATTACTTGTTTAATTTTGCTCAACATTTAAATTGTATTGCTACTACCAGATAATTTACATTATTTTCCTTTGATTTGCACTATAGAATACAGGTATAAAATTTTTAATGTAGTACAACTGAAGACAATTTTACAGTGGTGGATCCAGAAATTTTCATAAGTGACTGCCTAAGAGAAGGCCGGCTCCTGTCATGCTTCAGTGATTCCCTAATCAACCAAATTTTTTCAAGAAAAGGGGGCCCGAACTCCTGTCCCCCCCCCCCCCCCCCACTAAATCATGTATTTATCTTTCTTGAGTTTTTCTCATTTGGCGGATCCAGAACTTTTCATAAGGGAGGGCCGGCTCCAGTCATGCTTTAGTGATTCCCTATATAATCAACCAGATTTTTCCAAAGAAAGGGGGCTCGGGCCCCCAACCTCCCCCCCTGGATCAGCCTATGATATATGTTTATATATCTCTCTGATATGCCATTTCAAATCAAATGTGTATTAAATAAAACTTTACACTAGAAAAGTAATGGATAGTTACTCATTTGGGAAACTTTCAAATTCACAGCATGCCGGTGCCCGTGTTCAAAGTGGTGGTTTTTCAATCACCACCCTCTTTGTATTGCGGAATAACGATTTAGGCAAATTGAGAAAAACATCATGTCTGTGGTTGATAATAGTGTGTGTGCATTAATTTTCTATACCTTCTTATTTAATATTTTTCCAATGTTGAGTACTGACGGCAAGTGTTGTAACGTATAGTGTACCAATGTCTTGAGACCAATGTGCTATTTACAAGTGGGATCGGGGAATGCAGGGGAAAGAAACTTATCATGTTTATTCTTAAGACAAAAATGAGCCGACGTAAAATGAACCGTGTCGAGGAGGTTACTGACACGAAATAGGCATTAACCTATGTGTATATATGTGTATATATGTCTCTGTAATTATAGGGTCATCTCTCGAGAACATTAACTATTACATTGATAATTTACTCAGCAGTCAGTATCCCGAAGAAAAAAAAACGTATGGATGCAAAACGCTTAGTGGTTTCGGCTGACTACTAATACGTGCACTTTGTCTCAAAATATCCCGGCAGCGTTAAAGATGAAGTCAGGATCTTGGGGGGGGGGGGTCTTCTTTTTCTGTGTTCTTTAACTTTTTTTAGCTATATTTCTACAAACTTACACTTTTTGCTCATTACTCTCTTTCCTCATATTTTAGCATTTCATTATTCTTTTATCTTTATTGTTTGCCCGTTATTCTCTATTCTGTTAACCCCCATCCATACCCTCTTATGTGGACTTAAGCTTTCGGTAGTTTATTTTATCCTATTTCTGTCTATGTGAATGTAAATACATTTTTATCACAATTTAAAACAAAAACTTACTAAATATTTTTTTATGAAGTCCTCACCAGTTGTGGATCCAAAAAATGTCATAAGGAGGCACTAACTGTCATGCATAAAGAGGGGACCCGCTTCAGTGATTCTCTAAATAATCAAATCCAATAAAGGGACGGGCATCCATGCCCTCACCTTAATCCACCTCTACCCCCTTCCCACTTCGTATCCTTGAATTCAGATTCAAGATCTCTCTGACAAAAGTAAGTAAGTAAGTCACATTTGCTTATATCAGGTTTTTGAATTGAACTGGCGGAAAGTTGTTTCATTACCAATCATACCACATCTCCTTATTTTTATATATACGAAAACTTTATTCATATTTTTTTGGTGTATTGATGAATGTGTAAAGATGCAGCAATTGTGTAGATACATTTTAAAATACAGCACAAGAGATGCAGATTATATAAAACTTATAAGTCGAAGACATACTTACAACGCCATGGCAAAATCTTAAAAACGACCAAATGACGTACAACAGTCTATAAAACTTTACTATAGAATACAAAACGCAAACATTTAAAACACATAAGAAGCACCCAGACAGTCCAATAGAAATTAAAAGAATAAATAATTTGTAAAGATTTTCAACTAGGCCTACAGCTATATTTTCGTATCATCTAACTGTAAACATAGGTTCTGGTACTATGTGATAAGTCATTCTTAAATGCAGACCCAGTTTCATTGATACCTTGAATTTAAAGTGGTTTTATGCACATCAGCCCAGATAATGTGTGTAATTTTATTAAACAATTCAACAATACACGTTCTAAACAGGTTAAATTCAATTTACAAATTTACAAATTCAGATCTACTGGCATTCAACACCCAATTACTTACTTGCTGTATATTGCTAACTTTGATTGTATATTGTCAATCCCTCCCCATCGTGAATACGCCATGCGAGGTGTTGGCTATGTTTGATACAGAGTGGCGGCTTCGAAGCGAAGAAAAAAATCCAGGTAAATGAAAGTGTAAAATTTTGTTGTTGAAAATTTTAAGCACTAAATTCCTTAATTTGTACTTAACTCCGCTCTACTGGTAACATGATTGTTTGATATGAAAATAGGATAAAAAGCATCCGGAAAAATTATCACATTATAAGTATTCGTAAATGGATATGAAAAAACTTAACAAGGAATAAGTATTGGTAAACGGACAGAAAGTCGCAGTACAAAAGTTTAAATTAATTATTTTACAATTGTTTAAATATATGAGAGAAAGTTCTTGGCGAATTGACTTTATTTATAGATGGTATTTAGTTGAGGAAATGATTAATTCGTCTTCAAATAGTTTTTTTTTTTATCGATAACTTATAAAAAGGAGACATTTTTGACAGCATGAAGCCAGTTAATTACCAAACCACTGTTGCAGATTGTTTTCTTAACAGTCATTGTTCAATATTAATATTCAAAAATAAATTTTGTTTACAAGTCCGTTTCCTTTTAAAAATGTTTCAGAAAATACTGAAACGTTTTTAAAATAAAGTTTATTCAAAGAAAAAAATATCCCAAAACTAAATCGTGACTTTTAGACGAAAGTAGACAAACCCTATTTAAACGGGGTTTTTGATCTCCAAGGACGCCACATTTTACATCGAATAAGATCTATATTTTTTAATGTTTTCAAATGAAATAACTTGAATTGAAAATTTTCCGACTATGTGAAGATTTCTTATATTTCTAAATGGCTTCAATTATTACATACAAAACGAAAAAATTATTTAACTTTTTTTTGTAAAAACAATATTCATGTATTATTATAATTTTTCAAAGGAAACGTGTTTTTTTTTGTGTTTGTTTGCAAAGTTTACTTGTATGTGTTTATAACCATCACCAATCAGTCCTAATTATTAAATATCAAACGACCTAATCAAAATCAGAGACAGATAATTCAATTCTTTATTACTTTAAGCACGTTATGCTTATCAGTTCAATAAATACAAATACATTTCTATAAAACAACATGACATAATACATCAGAGAAGCAAATAAATATCAAGTATTGACCAATAACAGTTTGGTCCTATGATTAAATGCATTAAACAAGAATTTACACAAATTACGCAAATCTTTTACATTTTCAGTGCTGAGAAGTTGCACTAATTTGAACGACGATGGACGTCTATAATAATAAGGTTTAATAAACTGTCTCCTTAAGTCTCTATAGCATTCACATTGTAAAACAAAATGGAATTCATCTTCAGTGATATTCAAAGTACAAAGAGTACACTTTCTATCTAACCTATTTACTCCATGATAACGGCCTACTTCAACAAACAAATTATGAGATGACAATCTAAGGCGAGTTAAATACACTCTAAAATTCATATGTTTGGTTAGATAATTCTGTAAACATACATTATTGACAATATATTTATATAAATAACACTTAGATGAAACGTTCAGTTGATCATTCAAAGTCTGTTTTGCTTGATCATATATCCTTGTTTTTACAAATAATAATAAATTTGTATCAATAATCAAATTGTCTTGGT